AATAAAGAACAAGGGTTGGTGAAAACACTTCAGATTCAGAGTTAGAGCTGTCTGAAGATGGTATAGGATGAGCTGGAGCTTGGACTCACTGGGGTGACCAATCAGAGGCCTGTGGTCATTTGTCAGGGATGAGTACCCAACTGTATGATGGTTCAGGTTGTGTGCCAATTTGACTAAGAATGTGTAACAGAGTCTTCCCTCATGATGAGATCTGCTATGAGCAGCCAATCAATTTCAAGGATGCTTTCTGGGGGGGGGGGCAGGGCAAAGCATGGCTTTTTTCTTGTCTTTTCCAGTTTTTGGAGGCTACTGGCATTCCTTGATTTCTAGGTCCTAAGTTGCATCACTCCAACTTCTGCTTCCAACATCACATCTCCTCTATTCTCTTACTCATGGCCTCTTGTTTATGAGTACCCAATGATTACATTGGGCCAATCCAGCTAATCCAAGATGATCTTCCCATCTCAAGAGCCTTAATTTGATCACTTCTGCAGAGTTGCTTTTACTATAGATTCATTGCCATTGAGTTGATTCCAACAAAGTCGAACTGTCCCATAGGATTTCCAAGGCATTGAATCCTTACCGATGCATGCTGCCTTCTCTTGCTCCCTTGCAGGGACTACTGGATTTGAGCCACCGAACTTTCGGTCAAAAGCTGAGTGCTTTCATCACTGTGCCACCTGGGCTCTTCTTTTGCGTAGGAAGGTAACATTTATTCACCTGTTCCAGGGTCAGTGCATGGCTAGCTTTGGCATAGGGCAGTATTTTGTCTCAGAGACTGAACAGATTCTATACTGTGAGGAAGAAATCAGAAACAAAGGCCCTGAGACACACCGTCCCCAAACTTTTAAGATCTAAACTCTAAACATCATGGTTTTAAAGCTATTAATCAAGTTGAAAATGTCGACTTGGGTACAAGCTTAATATAGTTAATTATAAACACTAAACAGATACCTTATTTTCTTTCAGAAACTCTCATGTTACCCCAGCATTACATATTAACTTTTTAGTAGGCTCTACAGTTTATTTCCTATAAACTCCTATTTACAGGCTTACTTAACTATTTAAATAGAGCCACACATATTACCAGGTGGTTAAGAGTTTATGATTATCTAGAGCTTCTCACAACTGGGCGATAGCTTTATGGGAACTGAATGATGGAAAAAGAAAAAAAGCTGGGATCCTATTACAAGTAACCAGACCTTGTTATCACCTTTTCCATTTCTACTTTCTTCTAATCACTAAACTATCACTTTTCTTGACCTCTTACTATGTGGCTGCAAACCCAACCATAATTTAAATTTTCAATAGTTTTCTCTTTAGATTTTCTTTGACATTTATTTCCAAAAAGAATTTTTAAAAAACCCTCTGGGTTTACAAAATAATTTCCCCCTATATTTCAAATCATGAGAATAATGTTCTCTCAATCCAAACTATGGTCATATATACTGTACATAAAACACACCCATAAATAATACTACTTTGCTCAACAGTTTCAACCCCCCTCACAGATATTATTTTTAAAAATTGAAAAAAACAAAACTGCTTTTGAGAACTGAGTGAAGGGGTCTCAGGGAGGAGATGAGCCAGTCAGGATGCGATGTAACAACGATGAAAAATACAACTTTCCTCTAGTTCCTAAATGTTTCCTCCCCGCT